TCAGAGTCCAGAAGGAAACTAAGATATGAAAAAATATGTGTATTTGTTCAACACATGAATGATGACATTTATATAGCCTTTCATTTTCAATTCAGTTCATTATTATTTTGAAACCATCTTGGCACATGGACTTTTCTAATTACTTTAGCTTTATATTGTATTTTTACTATTTTCTTCTTACCTGTATTCTGCTTCCTATTGTTATATACCTCAGACACAGGGTAATCTCTGCTTTCCTACAGAGAAGTTATTGTTTTTATTGAGGTAACATTAATTCATACCATCATTTTTCAGGATTATTGCCTTTGCACTTTCACAGATGTATATACCACAAATTTTTTATCTCCAAATGTCTAATTACAATCTTGTCATGTAAAATTGACCCACATGTCCCTCCCACCTCCTTCTCCTTTGGCCCATAATAACTACCATGCATTCTTCAAAGAATATGTTGTAGTTTTATTTTATTTTTATTTTCTACATATAAGTAAATTATTTGGTATTTTCCTTCTTAATTTCACTTAATATAATCACTTAACTTCCCATTAGTCGTCGATTTGCTTGAGCGGGCGCCAGTAACGTCTCCATCACGTGCCAGTGTAGCCCAATGGCATCTGTTCGCTCTGGGAACATGAAGAGCCTCAAACCGATCGTTCATGATCTTGATGAAGAAGTCTGACCATCTGGTAGGTGGGCGGCCACGCGGTCTTTTGACATCCCGTGGGATCCAGTCGGTAACAGCTCTAGTCCAGCGGTCATCTTTAAATCTCATTACGTGATCAGCCCATCTGATTTTTGACACTCTGGCAAACGAGACAGCATCCCTGATTCTTGATCGTCGACAGATGTCGGAACTCTGGATTCTTTCTCTCATTTGAGTGAAACGTGATATTCCAAGCATAGCTCTTTCTGTTCTTCTTTGGGAGACCTGAATAGCGTTCTCATCCTGTTTGCGTAGGGCCCAGGTCTCTGAGGCATATGTTAATGCAGGAAGAATAGTGGAATCAAAGAGATGTGCCTGGAGCCGGAGGTTCTTCGTCCTCTTAGCAGTTTCTTGAAGGCCGCTCTCTTCCACCTGCCAGGTCATTTGTCATGCAAAATTCTACTTCACAGAGCGGGGAGAAAGGGCTGCAAAGTTTAAAAAGAGAACTCCCAGAACGACCACCAACTGGGAACTCTTTGGCACTATTGCGGCAACATGGGAAGATGCCATTGTTGACAACATTGACGAGGAATACGATCGACTGGTTCAGCACCTCCATGATTGTACGAGGAATGCCAAGAGAGAGATAGCCACAAAAAAACGCCTGTCCTCAAACTCTTGAGCTTATTCTCCAACGTGGTTTGGCACATGCCTCAGGTAACCGCAAGCTAACGTCCGAGCTCGCAAAGCAGTGCAGAGATGCGATCAAGGAAGACTTCAAAGAGAGAAGAGCAGAAGTGCTTGTAGATGTGGCAGAAGCCGGGACAAGTATTCGTAACGCCTGCCTGTCCTTCGCCAACTACAAGACCAAGATGACTGCCCTCCGACGTCCTGATGGATCCATCACATCCTCCAGAACGGCAATGGAGATTATCCATGACTTATACTCAAATCTCTTCGATAGCCATGTCCACGTGCCGACATACCAAATTCCACAGGATGGATATGTCGTTCCTAACGCCGAAATCCGACATACCATTTCGTCAGTAAAGAAACGAACAGCACCCAGCCCAGACAAGGTCAGACCTGAACACCTGAAGAACCTGCCGTCAGTACTCATCAATACACTGGCTACCTGTCTGAATGCAAGGTTCCGTCCCAGTGGAAAACCAGCAGGACCGTACTACTGTTCAAGAAGGGAGACATCCATGACATTGGCAACTATCGCCCGATCTGCCTATTGTCTGTCATCTACAAGTTGTTCACTCGAGTCATCCTAAATAGGATTGGCAGAACACTAGATGAAGGACAACCATGCAAGCAAGCCGGGTTCCGCAAAGGATTCAGCACCATTGACCATATCCACACGATAACCAAGCTCATTGAGGTTTCTCGGGAGTTCAAGATGCTGCTCTGTTTAACGTTCATTGATTTAAAGAAGGCCTTTGATTCTGTTGAGACGGAAGTGGTCATTGAAGCCCTAGCCAATCAGGGCATTCAAGCCCAATACATCAGGATCCTCCGTGAGCTGTATTGCGGATTCACTACCAGGATCTCACCATTCTACAAAGAAGTGATCGTTGATGTCAAGAGAGGGGTGCGGCAGGGTGATACCATTTCACCGAAACTCTTCAGTGCCACCCTCGAGAACATCATGCGACGACTGGAATGGGAAGGAATGGGAGTGAAGATAGATGGTCGGCAACTATACCACCTCCGCTTTGCTGATGACATTGTTTTAATAACACCAAACATCAGCCAAGCGGCACAAATGCTGGCCGACTTTGACCGTGAGTGTGGAAAGGTAGTTCTATAGCTGAATCTTATGAAGACAATGTTTATGAGAAACAGCCTCGTTCCTGATGTCCCATTCGCTCTCAACGGAACGGCCATCTCCGAATGCAACAGCTATTTGTACCTAGGTCGAGAAGTCAACACTTAATATAATCACCTCAGAATCCATCTATGTTGTTCCAAGAATCAAGTCAGCTGAAAAGCATCCCGTTGTGTCTATGTGGGGGGGAGAGTATTAATACATAAACTGCATCTCTTATACCATGCACGAAAATTAATTGAAACTGAATTACGCCTGGGGCCGGGGTAGGACATTTACGTTGCAAGCAGCCAACCTGGTTTTGATCCCTGGCATCCTATATGGTCCCCTGAGCACTGCCAGGAGTGATCCCTGAGTGTTTCCTTATTATTTCTACTTCTTATTTTATTGGCTAGGTGAAGTCTTTGCATTATTATTTAACTAATATTTATAATACTGTTACTTAATAACAGATTTGAAATACAATATCCTGGTTTTTAAGGTAAATGATGATTCTAGAATTTCACCACAAGGTATCATGATTGATGATCATTTCAAATATGTTTAGTATCTTTTATTCCTAGTTTATTATGAATCATCAGAAATGTCCTATGTAAATAGTTTTGTAATCAAAATGGAAAGTTAACCTTTGACAGGATGCTTTTCTTTCATTATACTTCACAAGATAAGATATATTACAGAACAAAGAGAACAATTTTCTCTTTGTAACAGAAAATTATATTAGTATTTAAAACATATAATTAATTCCTTGCCTGTGTTTACTTGGCTCTTAGGAACATTTTCTTCAGCCAAAAATTCTTGCAGGGTCTAGTTCCACTGTGATTCATTGATACATTAGTAAATTAATGAGTTAATTAATGAAGAGCATAGTTCACAGTGGTGAAACATCCAGTGGGAAATAAATAGTAAGAACAAAAGGAGGCAAAGTTTTGATGAGAATAAGGGAGAGTACATGAGAAAGTATAGTATAGGCTCTTCTCCCATATAAGTTATAATTTAAACTCCAGCAGACACCCGGTTGATCTGGGGACCATCTGTGGTGCCTTAAATTCGAGTTTGCCACATGCAAGGCAAATACCTTAACCCCGCTCCTACAACTTCAGCTCTCCAACTCATATTCTTTTGAAAATGGTGGGCTACTAACAGTTGAAATCTGAAATAGCATAGTCCACTATGCTTAGACTCTGTAATTGACAGCATGTTACTTCCTATTAGGAGGGAAGAAGAGTAATTGCACCATTCTGTGGGTGGTGGTCTTTAGGGGTTAAGTTGATAGCATCATTCTTGATTACCCCCTAGTGTATTGTGAACTATGTATATGACCTTGAGCATCTGAAAAATCATCTCAGACCTTCAGGTTTGTGTGCTCTAATGTTTCTGTATCATAACTGTTTTTCTACCTTACCCAGATTTTCAGTCCAAACTAATTTTCTGGCCTTTGTTTTCCTTCTAAGTCACATTGTTATAAAGACACTTATTTTTTGATAATCCATAAGTACTTTGTACCTTACTTACTAAGATATAAGCGCAAAAAAAGAAAAAAAAAAGGAATGCTGAGAGCTCCAAGAAGTAGCTCAAAGAATAGGAGGCCCTTTCAGTTCCCAGCATTACCTGGTCCTGCAAGCACTGAGCTGCACTTAGCTCCTGAACACTGCAGGGGTTGGTGCTTCTGTCCTGCCTCCCCTGTCCCAGCATTCCCTCTACCTCAGCCCCCACCCCACCCCCACACACACCCCACCCCATGAGAAAAATAGGAAATGACTGCTAATGTGATTTTGTTCGGGAGGGTGAAATGATCTAAAAGAGATTGCGCTGGTGGTTACACTGGGTTAAAGTCATTAAGTGATAACTTGGTAGGTTATTTGGTATGCATAAAAATTGTGAGAAATTTTTTATGAGAAACTATTAGTTAAACCCTTTCTTTGCAGTTATTGAGTAAAATATGTCTCAGAGAAATGCTTGGAATTGGGTTACAAATAGATTTTTACAAACTTTGATAATCTATCAAGAACCTAAAATGCCAAATGCTAGTTCCAATTAGACATTATGTAATATAGGAGTAATATATTCAATTGATGGGCTAGTTTATAGTTCAAAATGTTAGTTAACATTTAATGGTTTAGAGATGCACTTGTAACATGTATATATTATAACATGTAATTCTAATTATGTGTGCATGCATGTATATACGAATAGAAAATAGTCTGGGGTATAATGTTAAAAATTGAACAGTTGCTATTACTGAATTAAAAAGATACTTAAAATATTTTAATTTTTCTCTTGCCATAGTTTCAATACACTTGTGTTTCAAGTTATAGTCAGTGTCTATATATGCACATACATATCCTGTTGTTTCGTTCTTCTTACTTTATCTTTTAAGTACTAATGGAGCATGTGGATTCATGTGTCTTAGTGAAATATGGGGGAGATAAAGCCATCGCTACTGAGACTGACCAAATTGTACCACCTATTTTATTTGCATGACTTGGAAAGAGTAAACAATGAAATTTAATATTATTGCAGGTTATCAACGCTGCCCTGGCTTTAGCAGCAAAACCACAGAGTAAGCTGGCCCAGGAGAACATGGATCTTTTTAAAGAACAGTGGGAAAAACAAGTTCGCGTTTTAACAGATGCTGTTGATGACATTACTTCCATCGATGACTTCTTGGCCGTCTCAGGTAATGAGCTGGTTTTCCAGAGGAGCATGTGAGAATGTGCATAATTATTTTTGACTCACTTAAAATAATGGACAATAAGAACACCCCCAAGTCTGGACAGGTAAATTATTCTAGCAGTAATATTGTTCTGGTTTTCTTTTTAATTAAAAGATTCCCACTAACTCCTTAGCAGTGGGAGATGGGGCTGGTCTGCATCATAGAAGCATGAATTACAAAGCTAGCTAGCAGGGTTTCCCTGTTCGCATTGAATAAGGTCTTGCAGCAGCTAACTGTTCTGCCTCATCACCATCCACTTCTCTCGCTGTTAATGTTAGGAAAAACATTGACCTGTGTCCTGGTAGATAAAGACTGTGGCTATTGGTTATGAGCCTGTGAAACAGAGAAGAGATTTTCAACACCTTGGAAAGCTTCTCCCTCCCTCTCTTCCGTAGAAATGATTATACCTTAACTGCATGCTCTTCACAAGACTGCCTGATACATAGATAGAAAACAGAAAGGAAATATTTAAGTGCTATTTAATTATGAACTTGCAAAAAATAAATCTGGTTATTCACCTCACAAAAACAGCTGATTTCATTATATAAACATAAACTGGTAATGGCATAGTAAATTGCATTTATATAGAAAATATCTGTCAACTGCAGTTCAGTGTTTATCACACAGAGATAAATTTCAATTCATCTTCTTGGAGTCGAGCAAGTATAAATGCAATCACCATTTAACAGGGCCTCTGCTGCCCTTGGCTGCAGTGCCTACTCTGGAAGTGCCAGGCTTCCTGAGGCCAGTAGCTGTGGGCAGAATCAGCAGCCAACTTGTAGGGCTAAAACTCTCTGTCACCCCAGGGAACCACAGGCTGGAAACATGGGCGATGCGAGTGGCAATGGGGCTTGAAACAGAAGCAGGGCTTAAGTATATGCACAGCACAGTCCTCCAGCAGTGACCTATATAAGGTGACAATGTGTTCCGCATACCAATGTTTCCCTATCTCTGCCACTCTCATTGGGATTAGTAACTTAGGCTCTACTTGAGCAAGTGGGGTACAGACAGTCTGTAAACTGCAAAAAAGAGGGGGCAAAAACATAATGCTACAGGACTGCCAAATTGCAGGTGCTGGTACTTTAAAACAAAAATCCACTTGCAAGCATATCTTTGCAGGTGCCAGAAATGCAGCAATGGCTTTTTTGGGAAATCTTGGCCTTCTGTTGTTTTTCCCAATGAAGTACTGAATTATTCTTTTTCATAGGTTTAGAGAAAAACATTCCACCTTCACAGCTTACTTTTAAGCAAACAATAAATTCTGAAATCTAAATGAAAGTCCCCTCCAGAGATAGACGCTCCTTTTCTAAACTTACTTTCTTGTGATTGAGTTGGGTATATCTCACGCTTGGTCTCAAGGGATTGGCAGTCCTTCTTGCAGGAAAATAAGATCCAGGAGAAGCAAATGTCCCTTATGCAATATTCTTTAAATCTGCGAACAAAAGGAATTCTATAATACCATTTAGTGGAATCCAGGTAGTAACTTTAGGGTATGTGCTATAAAACAGAAGAATGGTAAAACAAAATGAAATACTTTAACAGATACTTTTGATCGGTATGTTCTGTTTTTATGAAAATATTAAAAAGTATTCAATTTAAGGGGCGAGAGCTATAGTACAGTGGGGGTACTCAATGGTCCCCTGAGCACCACCAAGTGTGGCCCCCAAACAAAAAACAAACAAATGAAACCAAAAAGGGTATAAGATGTAGCTTGTTGAAAAGTTTAGATTGCTTGTATTTAGCAAATAAAAACATGGACCAAGGCTGTATTTATATTGTCCACTATTCCTTTGACTTCTTGGTATACTGTAATGATGGGGAAAGCTAACAAGTGCTTCTGTAGAGTCCTCCGGATTGGCCAGTTAATTTTAGGGTTCAGACTCCTTTATATCCTTAGACCTCGACTGCACAAGGAGGGTGGGGCTGGGGGGACCTAGAGGTAGCTCTTCACCTCATCTGACACACAGCTTGTGGCAAAGTGTCTGCACTTCATCTCAAGGTATCCTCTATAACCAGGCAGGCCGTAGTCAGTCTCAGTCCTTGGCTCTTGTGCACTTGCAGGTGTCATCTGTCCCTGTGTCAGATAGGACCCCACATCTTGACCTTGCACAGATCTGCTATGTTTATTGTGCCCGAGCCCACTGGTCTGAGATAGGGAGTTGCAGGGAAAGGCTCAACTTAGGGTCTTAGCATAAGGCGGATCACTGGGTTCTGCTGCTTCACTCTTTGAAGTGATTATTTTCTGCTGTATTCTGGGGCCTTATGTCCCAGTGTGAGTAGTTTAGGAATCTCTCCACTCTCTTGGAATCTGTGGAGACTGGATGTTGGCTATAGTCCTATCCTCAGACTGAGAACCTAATAGAAGTTATTTGGAGAACAGGACTCATGGGGCCCTCTGCTATTTTATCTCTTCTCTCCCCACATACTTTGTCCTACTGGTTCTAGAAATTCTGTCATTTATCTTAAGTCATGTCCTGATTTGTGACTTTAAAAGTAACGGTCATTTTGTGTATAACCTGGCAAAGTCTCCAAAATCTTGTCAATGTATCTTGTGGCCACAGCGGAAGAGAATCCTGGATGAGTGTGTATCAAGTGTGACATCTGTACTTGAAAACTGAGAGAGGAGCATGTGTGCTGCCGAGGAAGGAGGTCTCAAGTTCTCTGACTCCTAGTTTCCCCTTTAAATGTTAGTGATGCTTTGTGGTACTAGAGAACATTTAGCAAACCATGAGCATATTTATATTGACTGATTCCTCAAGGACATTGGTTTGAAATTTATCAAAGCGATAAAGATTATTTGAATTTCATTTGAATTGTATTTGATAAATGTTTTCTGTGGAAATGTAATTTACTTTCGTTTACTCTGCTTATATGGGAAGTTTTGGTCCCTCCTCTGCTTTTTTTTTCCCTCTTAAAAACCAGGGAATACATAAATAGTCTGTCACCCTGGCTCCCTGGGGTTTTTTGTTTTGTTTTGTTTTTGGCTTTTTTCCAATTAAGCGAATGGTCGGATTGGTACTAATTGGGCCTATTGCAACCCCCACCCCACTCCCAGACCTGATATTCTTGGAAATAAATGACAGTGCATTAAGTACTTTCAGGTGACAGATGAATGGCACCCTTTTTCATTAAGTGTCACACTGTACAAAGGAAAGGAGACCATTATGGGTCAGAGAGAGAGTGCAGGTGCAGGAGGGAAGACACTTGCCTTGAATGTGACTGTGTCGTCTGTGGCTCTGGTTTGAATCCCTGGCACCACATCCTGGAGTACTGATTAAGTACTACCAGGGTTCACTAGTGAGCACAGAGCCAGGAATAGCCCTTGAGCGCTGCCAGGTGTGACCAACATTGATTTTTTGTTGGGGTGTGTGTGTGTGTGTGTGTTTTTGGTTCATTGCGATTTTTAGGAGAATGTTTATCATGTTATGTTAAATGACAAGCACTCAGAAGTTTTTCTGTTTTAGATTAAAGCCCTCTCTATAAAGTATTACCTCCTGTGTATAACTAAGGTAGCACTGATAGAGATTTCTAGAAAGAGGATATGGAGAACAGCTCAGTTGTACAGTGTAAACTGATGTACATATTCACATAGTTTTTCTGGAGAATGCCAGTTGGCTTGGTTCCTGAAGGGCAATTAGACATTATACATCTGCTTTAAACACGTATGTTGTTTGACTTAGTAATCCAGTTGCTAGAAAATTTATCCAGGGATAGATTTATAGGTGTTTGCCAAGATACCTGTCCAGAATGTTCACTTCAGCCAAAAGTCTAAAAAAGACGAGGTGAAAGAATTTCTGAGCCCTTTATCTATTCACTGGGGTGGCATGTAGCCATTATGGTTGATCATGTAGATCTGTGGATGCAGACTAGAAAGGTTTTCATGTGAAACAGATGCCATAGTTTCTGTTATACGATACCCTGGGGATAGACTGTTGCATATGTGCCTATGACTCTTTTTCTGTTGCAAACACTCAATCTTTAATGGGGTACAGACTGTTATGTCAATTTATAATTAATTGGAAACTCAGTTAAAGTATTACAGTGTGGGCACCATATAACCTCCGTGTATGGATATGCCCAGTGGAAACTTTGTTCTCCTTTCAAGCTTATGGGTAGAAAGTGTGTTGACTCAGTGTCCTGGGGGTGTGATGCCCACAGCAGTCTGGGATTCCCTAGAAAAAGCTGTTTAGGAAGAGCTGAGAATGTCACTTTAGTTAGCATCCTGAAATAAGCTTCATGTTTTGCTAACAAATAGCAAACCTATCCCTTATTGGGGCTCATCCAGAAGAAAGCTAGTCTAAACTCAAGATAAGTCTAAACTATTTTTTAAAAAACAGACTTGTCTAGACTAAAGCTCACAAATGCTTGGTGGAAGTTTGAGCCATTTTGTTGAATGTACCAAGAAAGACACCATGCTTCATTCAGTGTCCCCGCAGACAGCCCTGCAGCAGGGCCGCACGTGCTTGGTGGGAGAGCTCTGCCTTGCATGTGTGAGGCCCTAGTAAACACCTGGCAGTGGTTCCTGCCCGCACTTGGGGCGAGGGGGGGACCCTGTAGTGCAAGAAATTTTAGAAAACTAAAATAAAAACATACACTGCAGCCCCCTGGGCCATATATCTGGCATCAGTGTATAGCTGATTTATTAACATTTTTTTCCTTGCCTTTTTATTGCTAAGTGAAACCAAGATACCAGCATAAACTATTTTTAAAATGTATTTATTTTTATATAGTTGTCCATGATTTATTACATTCAATATTCTAACACCAGTCCCACCACCAATGCAATCTTCCCTATTTTATGTAAAATAAAATTCAAAAAATAAAAAAAAATAAAATTCAAGTTATTAACCCAAAGGCTTCATATGGTGGGCAGGCTCACTACTATTCTACCACTGTCCTCCCATTGTTCATCGATTTGCTCGAGCGGGCCCAGTAACATCCCCATTGTGACAATTGTTACTACTATTCTAAATTAAGTTATTATGTAGAAAGCCAATGTAAGTTTAAAGTATATTATATAATTGGTCTGTATACTGCTGAGAATTTGTTTTAAATGTTTAATTAGTAGATTCTAAGTTATGATTTTCTTAGCTATAATATTAATCCATAGTTTTCTTCATAAGGAAAAAACCTCAATATATGCTGACATACCATAAAATGTCATTGAACGTTTAAGAAAAATACTTTTATGTATTAACGGAATTTTAGAGCAATCTTAGCTTCACAGCAAAATCAATAGCTAGGTACAGTGATTTTTATAGTTTCCTGCCCCCTCAGCTTCCCCACCAGAGAAGCATCATTGCCACAGTAAACTGTGGTTACTGTGATGGACACATCGCTGTCACGCCAGGGTTCATACGAGGATTTGGGTTCAGTCTTGGTGGTATGGAAAGCCTGTAGGTTCGCACAAATGTGTTGATCTTGATAGTTTCATGGAATATCCCCTGCCCTAAAAATCCTCTTCATACCTCCCATTAGTGTTTTCTCTGTTTTACCATTGCCAGAAAATATTGTAGTTGGGATCATATGGTATATTAACTTACTGGATTGTCTTCTTTCACTTAGCAGTATGCATTTAAGGTTCTGACATGTCTTTCCATGGCATAATAGGATTTTTTCTTTTAAGTATTGAATAGCAGTCTACAGTTTTATCTGCTCACCTACCGCAAGACATGGTGGCTTCTAACTTTTGGCAGTCATGAATAAAACTGCTATAAATGTGTGCAGGTTTTTATGAGGACATAAGCTCTCAGTTCCTTTGGATAAATACTGAAGAGTGTGATTGCTGAATCATATGGTAAATGTATGTATAATTTTGTGTGAAAGATGTTTTTACCAAATCTATCTTGATTTTTTTATTGAGATTTACCAACTTTTTTGGGGGGGGTTAGGCGTTTGCTTTGCACACAGCTGACCCAGATTCGATTCCTCTGCCCCTTTCGGAGAGCCCAGCAAGCTACCAAGAGTATCTTGCCCGCACAGCAGAGCCTGGCAAGCTCCCTGTGGCGTATTTGATATGCCAAAAACAGTAACAAGAAGTGTCACAATGGAGACGTTACTGGTGCCCGCTCAAGAAAATCAACGAACAACAGGAGGACAGTGCTACAGTCTTATTGGGAGTTTTAATCTTTTTGTGGTCTTGAATTGAAAAGAACCATTGTAGAACTCCTGCAGTCTCTTGGGAACTGAAAGGAAGAGACTTTGTCTTTCGGGGCCCAATTGCAGGGCATTGTGGAGGCTTTGTTCTTTTTTCAGTAGTACTTGCCTCCAGCTTTCCTTGAAAGGAGAAGGAATAGCATCATCACTGTTTTCTGCTTTGGGCTTTTGGTGGTGGTGGTGTTTGGACACCATCAATGCTCAGGCTTCTTAATCAGGGGGGGTGCTGCGGATTTGATCCAGGGCCACGGCAGCTGAAGTTCCATATGAGGCAAGCACCTTCCCTCCTATTCTCTCACACCAGGCCAACTTGTTTTAGGTTTCTGAAGTGGTCAGAATTACCCAGTTATCTTTTGTCTCCCTTTGTTTGGGACATTCATATGTAATGTGACAGAGCATGTGAAGCAATGGAAGTGGCTTCAAACTGGAGCCAGTCCTGAATAATCACCAAATCCAGGGCTGGCAAGAAAATGACTGAAACTGATTCCACGTGTTCTGACTCTTCCAGAAGAACAAGGACTTTCCCTAGTGTGGCTGAGTCCTTTGGTATAAAGGAGGGCAGCAGACACTGCCGCTCAGAGCTCTTGTATGTCTTAACACTTCTTAGCAGGAAGTGAGCTGCTTGCACTGGGGTTCCTGAAATCTGGTGCCAGGCTTCTTGCTTTGAATTTTGGTGGACCCCTCAAATCCAGCTCCATATAAGTAGGAGCCATGTGTCGGTGTAATAGTATCCAGTAGCTTTCATAAGTCACATAAGCCCACTCCCCTATGAGGACGTCACTGAGGACTACACACACACACACACACACACACACACACACCCATCCCTTTCTGCCAAAGAGACTTGCTGCTTGGTCTATTGTCTGAATACCATTGGCATATGCTGGAAGGAGTGGGGAAGGACCAAGTCTTATAATGAACTTTGGTTGTTTTGCTTTAGATGGGAAATCAGTGAAATTATTATTATTGTTTTTCTTATTATGATTTAAGGATAATTTAAGTTTTTAAATAGATTTCCGAGGGCTGAATTTTCTATCTGGATTAAAAAAAAATGCTTCAAAAATGCCCATTTTCAAACCTGGAAAAATTATGGTTATTATTGGAGATTACAAACTTGAGTTTCTGGATCAGTTAATCCAGCAGATAATCCAACGAAAGGACACAAGTAAAGCTTCTGGCACTTTAACTGGCTCAGAGTGGCCACTCAGGACTAATGAGGCCCAGTTTCCAGTTATACCCTTTCGAGTGAGGGGTCAGTCTCTCATTCAGGCTTTTTGCTCCTTTCTCAGAGAATCACATTTTGGAAGATGTGAACAAATGCGTCATTGCTCTCCAAGAGAAAGATGTTGATGGGCTTGATCGCACAGCTGGTGCAATTCGAGGCCGGGCAGCCCGGGTCATTCACGTGGTCACCTCAGAGATGGACAACTATGAGCCAGGGGTCTACACAGAAAAAGTGCTGGAAGCTACCAAGCTGCTCTCAAACACCGGTAAGGGGCTGCCGTCCTCCCTTTGAGTGTTCCCCAAACACAGCCTGGCTGGAGTAAGGCCGCTCGGGTAGGCAACTCCCTATGGCTAGGAATAGGAGGTCTTAGGACAAGCACTCTGAGTAATGCCTCTGATTTTTGAAAGCTAAATTAAGTCTCATAAACAGTTCCCTTTCGTGTGACCCATGATTAATGAAGGGAATTATTCTGAACATACTGTTTAAGATGAAGTTGCAAATTAAGTTCTCCTTTGGTGAATAAATAATAAATTAAGGAGGGTTCCGTTATCACATAAGTCCTCAAGTAAAAGTCCTCAACCACTAGATCCCTTATTGTAGAATCTGGTCAGAGACAACAATGGTGACTTGAGTCTTTGTAAAGTGTGGCATTTAATTTATTTTAACTATAAATTCTTGTAGAGGTAAAAGCAGAGGCCTTTTTATCACTTTCCTTCCCTTTGCCATCTGACTGAGGGACTTGGTGGGGGGGCTGGTAGAATGATGAAGCCTCTTTCCTCTGCAGTCATGCCACGGTTTACTGAGCAAGTCGAAGCAGCTGTGGAGGCCCTCAGCTCGGACCCTGCCCAGCCCATGGATGAGAACGAGTTTATTGATGCCTCCCGCCTGGTGTACGACGGCATCCGAGACATCAGAAAAGCCGTGCTGATGATAAGGGTGAGGAACTGCATTTCAGATGTTTCAACAGTTTCTTATCATTCCCTAAACTTCAGCAACACATCATGGACTCTAAAACTGTTAGAATGAAATAGACTTAATTACATAGTCTGAAAATAAATTAGTTCCAAGTTGGATCCCAAACTTGGGTCAAGGAGAGCAAGTAGGCCAGTGTTTGTGCTGGACAGTTTAGTTTTTGTTTTTCGTTCCCTTTGTTGTTGTTTTTGTTGTGTGTGTGTTTTTAGTTTTCATTTTTGAGTGGTAACATGGTCTACAGTATTAATGTATATGCTTTTAGCATACAAAGTTCCTGCACCACCACTGAATGCCCCAAGCCCTCCAGTCCACTTCACACATGGCTCCTCTCTGAAGAAGCCCTTAAGAGTCAAAAGGCTTGTTTTCCCTGGCCATTGCTTTATATACCACACATGAGGGAGATTATCTAGCATTTCCACTCCTGTATGTGGAAATGCCTTACCGCCTGTGTTACTGCTGCTAAGATTCATGAGCCTGACTCTAGTTTTCCTGTGCTGCTCTTTTCTAATTTGGGGACCTAGGTAATATTGGCCTCTTAGGATGTATCCCCACCCCTAGCTGCTCCCTTTGACTTTGTGGAAGAATTTCAACGGGATGAGTAATAGTTCTTTGACACTTACATAGAGAATTCATCAGAGAAGCCTGAGACTTGATCTCTGTTTTGAGTGGTGTCCATCTTCTACTGAGTGTTTGTAGAAAAATGTGCCCACTGAATCTGGAACTGTCCCTGTGACCATCAGCCACATGCTTTCCTCCTCTCCACTCCCTCCGCGGTGCTGGGTTCCCAGACAACACTGAAGCAGTTGAGCACTGCCCCCTGCTCTGTTTGTGCATGTTCTCTGTGATGTCCCAGTGCTCCTGCCCTTTCTGGGCGCTGGCCCCTTTCCTATTTCCTCTTGATTCTCTCATCTGTTGGTGGGGGGCAGGGATTTGCTGGGCACCCCTCTCCTTGGTTTCCTTTGGGAATTTCTTGTCTTTTAAACCTCTCACCATCAGATTTGCACCAACCTGAGAAAACTGTGGAACCTGCTAACTCGAGTTCACACTCAGCCACCAGGCCTGCTTCCTCTGTCACTACTAGTGTAGCATTAGCTTACTTTGAACTCATACCTGTGAGCTCCTGAGTTATCGTGGGATGGCAACTGTCGTCCACATGGTCAGCACCAATTCTTGGTTGACCCCTTAATTCTTTTTGCCTCATCCCACATCTGATCTATCAGCAAAGCCTGTTGGACTTTCTTTCACAAGAAATAATGGAATCTGAACACTGTCCCCTCCCTTGTCCTGACACCATCATGTCACCTGGACTCACACCTCTAGTCTTAGGATTGACAGAGCTGCTGGTGACCATCTTAGGCTTCAGAGCAAGCTCAAGTGTTCCACTTCTCAGCCCTCCGAAAATGGCATGTCATTCAATTTTAACTGGACCACAAGGCTTTCTTGGATGTGTCTCCTCAGATTCCACTGCCTATCCCCGTCCCCTTTCTCCTTGGGTTCCTTCTTACATGAGCCGATTCCTTCTCTGGCCTCTCCTATTTTACCTCCCTCAGCAAGCTCCTTGCTTGGGCTCTTTTTACAGCAACTCCTTCATGCTAGAAGACTTCTTCCATTCTAAGGTTTGTGCTCAGATGTCACCTTACAAGACTGTCTTGACCAACCACATGAAATTGCAGTCATAGCACTGATTGCTCTGTATTAAGTCAAGTAATTCCATTTTATTAGTCATGTCCTATCTCCAGACTTAGGACAGAGGTACTCAGTAAAGGAATAAAAGTGAGGGATTTCATTTTCTTAGCAACATGTCCTTGGTGATCCAAATATGAAGGTTGTGATAGCAGTTGCTCTTTGAGAAAGCTCTTTCGAAAGTCACCAAACTCTAAAGGTGCCAGGGTTAGAATGGGCATGTGTGCTTCTGGAACAGACTACAGGCTTTTGTGTGGACATGCTCTTTGTTGTTCTGCAGTAACTCTTTAGTCTTCACCTCAGTGAAGACTATTGCATGTACACAAACACAAGATATTCCTGTTGGGGGGAAGGGGGTAGAGAGTGTCCATGCCGTGCCAGGGATCAAACCCAGGCCTCCTACCCCTGCAGGTTTCAGATGTTTTCTCACACATCTGAACCTGTCAACAAGCAGGTAGAGGTGCCGGACTTACCTCACTACCTGCCTTCCTATCACAGGTCAACTAGCTGTGTTAGACCTACGCATCCGCTTGCAGCCTGTTACTGATACCTTCCTGAAGGCAGAATTACACTTCAGGACAGCAGCTAATCACAAGAGGTTATGCAAAATAAGAATTTTATTTCATAATTAAAGCAGAGCTAGGACCAAGTAATCAAACCCTTTGGTAGTCAAAGTTCTTGCTGCCAGATTCTCTCTTCCTCTGATAATTGATTTTTAATAGTGAAAATACATGGTCTATTTTTACTTCTCAAAGCAGACTTTGGTGCCAAGAAGACTACAGTATTAGTAAATTCACTCATTTTTTGGTCATGTAGTGGAAAATTGTCAGGATCTGTCACGTGATGGCTAAGATTTCTTTCCTTAATACTGTATCTTTTCCACCCAGGGAAGTTCTCACTTATGTCTTAAAATGCAGGTGCTGAAGAAGTGCAAATCCATTAAAAGACGACTCTTTATTGTATGTGTCACCCTGAGCATCCATAATCCTGTGTATCTGTACTTCTGACTCATGGTCTTTCTGTTGTTGGCAGACCCCTGAGGAGCTAGATGACTCTGACTTTGAAACAGAAGACTTCGATGTCAGGAGCAGGACAAGCGTCCAGACAGAAGATGATCAGCTGATAGCTGGCCAAAGTGCCCGGGTAAAGAATGGGTGTAGTGTAGCAAGTTTTGCAGACCCTGGCTTTCTCCTTTGCAGGAAACCTCATCATTGAGAATACTGTTTCCCCCTCCAGCCATGCACACCAGTGATGCTATTCTTACTCTGTGGCACCTGCTAGTCTTGGAGGTTCTTCCGGTGTCTCCTCGCTTGTACCCTGAGGCTTTGGTTTAATGCAGAGCCTTGCATCAGGGAAGTCCTAGGAGCTACTCAGTGCTCTTAGTTGTTAACAGAGTTGTGAAATTTGAAAAAGATTCTGCCCATCTCAGTGATACCATGAGTATGAGCTATTCATGGATTTTTTTAAAAAAATCACAGTGGTATATTCAAGAAAGTTGAAAGAACATTGCATTCATTTGAGTCATTAAATCTTCAATCAATAGCATTTATGTTTTTGGGGGGATGCCAAGAAATATTTTAAAGGAGTCTTTCACTGAAATAATTTTGAACAGGGAGGCTTTGCTTTCAGTTTCACCGGGTTGTAATACTTTGGGAAGCTGAGTGATGAAGCTCCGTCAGGTATGAATGCCACCTCAAGTTGCCAAAACAAACAGTCCTCAAAAATTTACATTTTAAAATCACCTGGGAAAGGTGCTGTTCGCCCTTACCATCTCTTTTCCCCAGTGGAGGGAACTGGAACAATCTTCCACAGAATTGAGCAGGAATGAACACAAAGACTAACGCCTTCTACCCCTCACACTGTTTTCCTCTGAAGTAAAATTTGTTCTTAAAAGTGGGTCTGGAATTTAGGCTGCTCTAAACTTCTGCAAAATCAGAAGCAATGGCCCTGGAGGCAGAGGGAACCTACTAAAGCATTATCTTACCTAAATCAGAGATTGCTTGGTGAAAATACTCTTGGCTAGTGCATTGTGAGAACTTCATCTTCTCTTCATGTATGAACTCTTTTTGCTTCCGGTTTTAGGCGATCATGGCTCAGCTTCCCCAGGAGCAAAAGGCAAAGATTGCAGAACAGGTGGCCAGCTTCCAGGAAGAAAAGAGCAAGCTGGATGCCGAAGTTTCCAAGTGGGATGACAGTGGCAATGACATCATCGTGCTGGCCAAGCAGATGTGCATGATCATGATGGAGATGACGGACTTCACTCGGTGAGTGGGCCTGGGGGGAGTTGGGGGAGTTCTCTCCTTTGTTCATTTCCAGTTAGGAGGGACTTCTTAGATTCTTATGGGTTTTTTTTTTTTTCTCCCCAGAGGTAAAGGCCCTCTCAAAAACACATCAGATGTGATTAGTGCTGCCAAAAAAATTGCTGAAGCAGGATCCCGGATGGATAAGCTCGGCCGAACCATCGCAGACCATGTAAGTGCCATGTGGGTTGCTTACAGAGTTCGTCCTGAGGTAATAACAGTACCTGTCACAAGCCTTTGCCCCAAGTGCTCATATCTTTGAGCTGGTCGTTTCATAGGGCAGAGAGCTAGACTCTGTCTGGTTTCTGCTATATCAGCTCTAGACCTTCATGGGCCATGACTGGCCACTCTGTTGCTCACACAGCTTCCACCTCGCCTCTAGCAGCATGGACAAAATGACTTGGAACTCAAGTCCTCTCATTTATCCCGCCCTTGGCCCTTCTGGCGTTGGCAGGTGCAGAAGGGCTGTTTGGTTAGCACTTAGCTCAAGTGCTCTTGACTCTTCTCCATACTCAGGCCCGTGCTTGGTGAGCCTTCCTTACAGGGGGCGGTGGGCTCAGGCAGACTGGAGTGCTGAGGCTCGGCCTGCTCTCTCCTCAGTGTCCTGACTCGGCCTGCAAACAGGATCTGCTGGCCTACCTGCAGCGCATTGCCCTCTACTGCCACCAGCTCAACATCTGCAGCAAGGTCAAGGCTGAAGTGCAGAACCTGGGTGGGGAACTCGTGGTCTCTGGGGTAAGTACCCTTTTTTTCTGTGGAAAGAAGGGCTCCAGGGAATGCTGCTGGCCTGTGGCCACACCCCCTCCCACAGGGGGAAAGTATTTTTATCTCCCTTGCCTTGCCTCTGAGAGGAAATGAGCCTGTTCAAAATTTGTAAAGACCCATAGATAGGCTTCTTGAAGCATCCTCCATCCCTCATCTGTTCACCATGTCCTGGTTTGCACCCCTTGTCAGGTTGAACAGGACACAAGACATCTCTGAGGCTGATGCCATGGAACTTCCTTTTAAAGCAGCATTGTTTTAGCAGTTGCTCACCTGCTACTATAGATGCTGTTACACATATTCTCTAAGGGAGGTGAGGGGAAGGCTGGGGTTTGTCTTGGTGACAGGCTGGTGGCTATTGCCGGTAGACCCTCCCTTCTTCAGACATACAGATCGTTGCTTGAACAGCTGCCCACCCATGGAACCCTTCTCCCCCAGACCTTTTGTCCCTCACTACTCTCTGTGCCTCCTAGGTCGACAGCGCCATGTCCCTGATCCAGGCTGCCAAGAACCTGATGAATGCTGTGGTGCAGACTGTGAAGGCATCTTACGTGGCCTCCACCAAGTACCAAAAGTCTCAGGGGATGGCTTCTCTGAACCTCCCTGCAGTGTCATGGAAGATGAAGGCGCCTGAGAAAAAGCCCTTGGTAAAGAGAGAGAAACAGGATGAGACACAGACCAAAATTAAACGAGCATCGCAGAAGAAGCACGTGAACCCTGTGCAGGCGCTTAGCGAGTTCAAAGCTATGGACAGTATCTGAGGCCGCCACGCCAGTTGTCCCCACCCCTTAATGTTCCTTAAGATCTATCACTATTCTTCATTCAAACGTATTTGCTAAACAGAACACTAATGTTAAGATTCAGTAGGGAAACAAATGGGCAGATTTTAAACCTGGTCAGGTGGTAAATTTTGCAAGAACTGTGTTTTTGTTCACGTTGGCAAAAAATACTTATGGAATTCAGGAGCAAATTTCTAGTTATATTTTTATATGCTTAAAAACTCTGTAACCAAAGAAAACCCCAACTTCACTTGTTGGTAACACCCCTGACCAAGCTGTGCTGTCTTAGCATTAGGGTTTGAGAGGTAGGGATCTGGCCAGCCCTGGAGAAGGAATGTTTCAGGAAGGTCTTCCCCTCAGAGAGAAACCCCATGAAGCTCAGTCAGGGGAAAAGGTATCATGAATAAAAATGATTACTCTATGACATAAAATAAGAATTTTAATGCATGGTTACAATTACTAATGCACTCTGCTGCAGGACATTAATAAAGTTGCTTTTTTCAGGCTAGAATGTTGTGGTGCCATAATCAGAACACACTTTTTCCCTTTCTTTAGTTTCAATGCAAATTCATCATTGGACTCACTCTAATAATTGGAATGTTTCCTGCCTTGGGCTTGCCATAGAAGCCTGACAAAATAGTGTTTGCTTAGGCAATAATTTAGCCTTTACCTTATTTGTGATTACTATAGCGATTACTATAGCTGCAAGGTATAATTTTACTGTCTTATTTAAATTTTATGAAATTGATGTTTTTTACACTAACTTTTTCCCAATAAAGTCCACTATGAAACCAAAAAGGCTCGAGTAGTGGGGTTTTATTTGCTTGCTATACCTGGCTGATGGCCCATCGGGAAAGGTCATACCCACTTTTGAAATCCACACTGTACTTCCAGGGACATGTTGGAATCCTGGTGGCATTTTGATATAACTCCCGTCATCTTACTTACATCCTTGATAAAGTAAAGTAAAGGCCCTCCCGTTGTTCGTCGATTTGCTCGAGGGGGCCCAGTAACGTCTCCATTGGAGACTTTGTTATTACTGTGTTTGGCATATCGAATATGTCACGGGGAGCTCCACTTCTTGGCATCTATCCCTCAAATACAAAAACGCTAATCTGAAAAGATACATCTATATCTAAGCTCATTGTAGGAGCAACCAACAGATGGATGAAGAAATTGTGCCATATACTTAATGGAATACTATTAAGTATTAATAGTAAGAAAAGATTAAAACCATGCGTAGTTTGCTGTACAATGGGTGGAGGGCTTCCTGATAAACGAAAGGGTGAAAGTACTAGGGGATAGCATGTGAAATATATAATTTCTCACAATAAACAAAAAAAGGAATAGTAATTCTGAGTAGTGAGAAACCCTTGGCCTTGGAACACAAAAATACCGTGCTTTGACACGGGGATTGAGAGCAGTAGTGGTGTGGTATGGTTTCCAGTGCCCCCAGTCTAATAGCCACCAACATACTGAGTTCTCCCTAACACTCACCTTTTGAACTGCCTTTCTCAACTTCCAGTATCTGCTTTTCACTGCTTCTGCTCACTGGCTCTTCATATAATTATGGCTAATTAGCTATTATATAATTGCTCCCAAAATTAGTTTAAAAAATACTTTGATGACCTCAGTTTCCAGTGGTCATTAGAGTAGTGTAGGAAGGAGGAGACCCCACCTGCCATGAGGACCCCTCAGACAATTCACATGGTGCATGGCTTCTCAGTGTGAAGGAACCAAAAGAAACAAAAGCCAAGTGTTCGGTTAAAGTGTGAACGTGGATGGGCTATGTTGGACCCCACACTTCTGTCTAGGCATAACTATCACATGACCCCCGAAAGACACATTCAGCTGTGTCCCCTTCAGTGCGAGGCTCTGGCACCCACCTGAACGCACTTTCCAGCTCCCTGAGCAGAAACCCCAGCTAAAGCCGGTCCAGGCTCGCCCCAGAGCACTGCACTGCAGACTGTCCGGGTGCCATCAGCTCCACGTGGACAAGACTCTGCTTTACTCAAGGCCCAGAACACCAAGAGGGCAGCTATTGTGGAGTCCCACAATACTTTAAAAAGACCAGTTGGGGGGCTGAACACTCTGGAGTCTTAAGAGTGATCTCTCCAAAATCGCGTTTGTGCTAATTACACTAATAGCCACTGAAGTAATAGGTAATGACCTTGCTTTACCTTGTACTGCCATCCCTGGTACCACAGTTCCCCTCCTGGCGTACAGAAGTGTCATCCCTCACCACACAGGGAAGAGACAGCACCGGTGTCCTCCCCCTCACCCAAGAAAAGGCTTGCTGTGTGCTAGAGACAACTGCAGAACTCTTTGAACTGCTCCTCATCTAAAACAATCAGGAGAGGGCCGTTGCTGACACAGTGGTATGCGTACACACTGACAAGGAACCATGGTCACATGAAATACGGTGTTCTCCAAACACCAGGGACAGCAGCTGGGTCAGATTTCCAATCCAGTTTCTCATACTTTTCCATTTTTCCTGTGGGCAAGTCTTTAGAGGAATCTTAAGGGCCCGAAGCTTGCCTTGCTCACGGCGCAAGCCGGGTTTGTTCCCTGGCACCCCAAGCCTGCCAGGAGTGATCCCTGAGTGCAAGCCTAGAGTAAGCCCTGAGCACCATCAGGCATGCCCCCCCGCCAAAAAAAAACCTAAAAGTAAAAGAATCATCTTAAACTGAGGACTGTGTCTCCACATTGATTCACAATATATTTCACTCATAGAGAAACTGGCCCACAATTCACAATATGGGAAATTCCATGGGGCCCTTTGGGCTCAAAGGGAACCACATGGGTGAAGGGAGGGTGCTGAAATCTCGCAGCCTTTTGGCGATACTTTTGTTTACTTAAGGTATAGACGATACTTTTGTTTACTTAAGGTATAGACAGTGGCTGGGATGTGACTCAGCTGCAGGGCACCTACCTGTAATGTATGAGGTCCCGAGTTCCATCTTCCATCCTTGCATCACACAAAGAGAGCAGGGGGCGGGGGTGGGAAGAGGATGACAGTGAAGGAAGAATAACAGGATGGAATTGGGGATTTCACCTGGCAGTGAGTGACTTCTTTGCTGAATCGGGTAATAATTGTTCAAACACTGTAAGACAATTTCCTCAATTTTTTGTGCTAAGATGACATGCTTTTAAGTTTAATTGGCATTAACATTTTCTTCAGTCTAGACTCTAGACAATCAACAAAACATTAAGCCTTGATTTAGAGCATCTCCCAACCTCGCTTATGAGTGCTCCCAAGCCTGTGGCTTGCAGGCCAAAGGCAGGGCTGGAAGCCCCACAGGCCATGTTTCTGCCCCCCAAATGGACCGGCTGACCTGAATTAGATTCAAAGTCACTAGGAAAGAGTGAATGTGAAGTGTTTGTTAACTTTAAAAATGTTTTGTTTTCCATGTACACAGAGCTGAGGGCTGGGGTGCAGGGCCGAGTGGGGGTGGGGGCTGGGGTACAGCTCCATCCCCCAGCACACCCCTGCCCCTCAGGTCTGAGCCCCTCCCTCTGCCCCCAGCCAGGCTGAGCACCTGGGGTGGCTTGACCCTATCTCACCGAGATGCCCATGGGAGAAAGCATGGAACCTTCTTTCCAGGGTGAAGGGGAGCTGCCAGCCCCCCACTCTTGCTGGCACAAAGGAGGTAGTGGGTTCCCTGTGAGACCACTGAACCAGCACCCTCTAGCCAGGACTCTGAGGTCAACGGGGTACAGCCTCAAGAAGACCCTAAGAAAGTTTCAAGAAACCTAGCCTGTCCTAGAGAATGCGTGGGGAGGGTGAGGAGGGTTCCTCAGCCACCAGAGAGCAAAAGGGGGGCCTGGGGGTGTGGTGGAAGCCTGGCACTGCCACATGGGAAGGTGTGGACTCTGAAGGAGGCAGGACTGCAGGCTTGGTTGACCGCTGGGGCCTAGTGGCCTGGTCACTCTCGGACCCCTTCCAGTCTTCATCCACCTGGTCCCGGTCTGGGGCCAGTGATGTGTCTGTGGCCTGGTCCCCCTCTTTCCTGTCACTGGGCTTTCCAAGGACGTTTACATTCCTCCCCAAACCTGAGTCAGAAATGAGGTGTCCGGAGTGTCCCACTCTCTCCTTTGCCTCGTGGCTCCTGGGCTGGGCAGGAGCGCCTAGATGAGGCTTTTTATCAACATCTTACTCAAGCTCTTTTCTGAGAATGTGAAAAATCACAAGGCTGAAGCGATAGCACAGTGGTAGGGCATTTGCCTTGTGCACAGCCGGCCCGGCCGAACCTGGTTCAATTCCTCCACCCCTCTCGGAGAGCCCGGCAAGCTACTGAGAGTATCTTGCCCGCACGGCAAGCCTGGCAATTCTACCCGTGACGTATTCTGTATGCCAAAATACAGTAACAAGTCTCACAATGGAGACGTTACTGGGCCCACTCAAGCAAATCGACGAACAACAGAGGGACAGTGCTACAGTGATAGTGCAGTACAGTGAAAATCACTAATAGTTGTTTTTATTCAAACTGTTGATTTAAGCATTTCTACTAGTTTTGTGTGAGCTGACTTGTTTACCTGGGGTCTGTGCCCAGGGCCAAGATAGTGTAGGTGGAATATTTTGGATTTGGCCTGGAGAGAAAGTAGCGGGGCTCAGGCACCTGCCTTGAATGTGGCCAAGCCAGCTCTGAACCCCCTGGCACTGCATATGGTCCCCTGAGTACAGCGCCAGGAGTAAGCCCTGAACAGTGCAGGCTGTGGCCCCCGCTCCAACTCTCAGCAATGATGAACTTCCTAAGAAACCACTTAACAAACCATTCCCTTCCCTCCCACCAGGGGCAAGTGGCTTCTGCATCTCATCAGGCCCTGATATTACAAGGGTTTTGCTGGGGCTTTGTTTTTGACGGGACCATTGCCCGGTGGCACCTGTGTGTAGCCCTGCCTTGTTTGCTTCTGAACTCGCCTCTTTCAGATTCTCCGGCCAATGCCACACTGTCATGATTACTCTGTACTAAGCCTTAGGATCACCAATGTGAATTCTCTACTTGGTTCCTCCTTTTCAAGCTTTTTTTGTTAGGGGCCAGGGGTGAAGCTCAGTGGTGAGCACTTGTCTTGGATATGTGAGGCGCAATTCTTAGCACCACACAAAAGAATTTAAAGAGTATTTTAGTTTTCCTTGTCCTTTTGCTCATATCCCTGTACATTTTTATTTTTTGGGGGGGTCACACCCGGCAATGATCAGGGGTTACTCCTGGCTCTGCACTCAGGAATTACTCCTGGCGGTGCTCAGGGGACCATATAGGATGCTGGAAATTGAACCTGGGTTGGCCGCATGCAAGGCAAACGCCCTACCTGCTGTGCTGTCGCTCCAGCTCCTCCCTGTACTTTTTTTTTCTTTGCTTTTTGGGTCACACCCGGTGATGCTCAGGGGTTACTCCTGGCTCATGCACTCAAGAATTGCTCCTGGCGGTGCTCGGAGGACCATGTGGGATGCTGGGAATCGAACCTGTGTTGGCCATGTTTGCTGCGTGCAAGCAAACACCCTACCCACTGTGCTATCGCTCCAGCCCCCTCCCTGTACATTTTTAAATTAAACTCTTGAAATCTTATGCAAATCCTTCCAGATCATGTTGAATCTATAGGTCAGTGGTGGGGTGTAGGATAACAATGGGCTTGTCCTTTCCGCCTTGCTGCAGGGAACTTAGTTTACCTTAAAGCAATGTATAGACACGGGAAGACGGTTAATATTATGCTTTGTAACTTGGGAGTTGATTGACTCTAATAATATTTACTCCTGGGCATCTGCTCTCGACTCAGTTGCCCTTAGTTCCTAGCACCCTAAAAGCAGGGTCCCGATGAGGGACTGAATAGACCCAGGGCAAGCTGTAAGCTACCCTGGCATCGGAATGGGCCAGGCCAGAGTACCACAACACTCAACTATAAGTTGAGAGCATGATCATAGACAGATGCTGTCATGATCCAAAAGACAGGACCAAGAAGATCAGCCGGAGAACTCCACGTCGGAACCCATGGCCTAGAATGGAACGAACAGGGTTAGAGACTGTCTGAGTTCACCATATCGATCTTTTGACATCCCATGGAATCCAGTCAGTAAAGGCTCTAGTCCAGCGGTTGTCTCCAAATCGTATTACGTGTCCAGCCCATCTGATCTTCAGCGCCTTGGCAAACGAGACAGCGTCCCTAATTCTTGACCATCAACAGAGATCAGAACTCCGGGTTCTTTCTCTCATTTGAGTGAAGCATGATACTCCAAGCATAGCTCTTTTCGATTCCTCTTTGGGAGACCCGAATAGCGTTCTCATCCTATTTTCGTAGGGCCCAGGTCTCTGAGGCATATGTTGAAACTGTCAGTTCCAGAAAGTTGAATCTAAACATTGGACATGGGAGTCTCCTGAACAATCAGTTTGAGGCTCTTCGTGTTCCTTGATCATGCAGACACCATTGAGCTACACTAGCACACAACAGGGATGAATGGAGACGTTACTGGCGCCCACTCGAGCAAATCGAAGAGTAATGGGATGTCAAGTGATCAAGTGATCAAGTAATCCAAAAGTAATGATGAGACTAGGACCCTGCAGGGGTTAGGAAGACTAACCTGGCCTGAGGACTGTGCTAAGACATCCTCAGGAAGAACCAAACCTTAAGTAAATATATCTCTTACTGTGCTCATACAGAATGACACTGCTAGAAACATTAGAAGTGGACTTACTACAACTATTTAAGTAGATTACTAGTTGAGGAAAGAAGAAAGTGACACACCCTGAATGGGATCCCACCCTTAAGCGGATCTTCTAGGAATCCAGAGTAATCTCTTTAGATGAGATTTTATCCTTGAGTTAATCCCCTGGAGGAGTGGCCTTACCTCTGATTTGTTAATATTCAACCTACCTTTGTGTCACTACCCTATGTGACTGCTATATAAACTAAGACTGGAAGAGCAGAGGGAAGGTGATTCAGAATCCAGAGAGTCAGAATCCAAAGCGAAGGGCTCCAGAGAGAGAGATCGGAGAGACCAGAGGAGAGACTACACAGACAGAGTCAGAAATAGAGAGACAGAGAGAAGAGAGCACAGCAGCGTGCACAGAAGCAAAGCACAAAGGAGGAGCCATCCCAATCTGGTCCATACACAGCAGCTCAAGAGCACCAAAAGCGGGCAGCTAGAGAGAGCTGCCCAGAGAGCCTGCCAACAACACATCATCTTCGCATCCCTCCCCCATGCGTGCAAGATACAGTTTTACAGTGGGGGTTGTGGGGGGACAGATTCACCACCTGTGTTTGTCAGTCCATGAGACACGAATGATCACTCTGTGTATTCTTCATATCGTTCATCAGTGTTTTGTAGTTTACAGCATAAAAATTCTGTATGGTTAGATTTTATCCATGTTTCATTTGTTTCAAAGCTATTGGAAACAGCACTGCTTCCAATTTAATTCCTTGTTCATTGTTGGTAGGTAGTAATACAATGTGATTGTATTATTGTATGGTGACCTTGCTAATATACTCATTGCTGGTTCAGGAGATTGTTTTTGTACATTCCATGAGATTTCCTACATCAGCAGTAGTACTACTGGGAACAGACCGTCTTGTTCCTTTTGCAGTGGGGTTTTTGCCTCTCACCCATTTCCTGCCATGCCAGGAGGTGGCACAGTGTTGCAGGGTGGCGAGTGTGGGCCTCCGGCCTTGCTCCCAATCTGAGGGGAAAGGAAATCAGGCAGAGCTTGATTTTGTAATAATTTTTGGCAGGGCTGTCAAGGAACAGATACTACTCTGTGGATAAGTTTATGGCCTAGAGCTTTCATGGTCTTCACTCACCATCCCCCATCCCTGAGACCGGTCACTGTGTTTGTTTCCAGGCGGGGATGTGGCTCAGTGGCAGAGTGCTCGCCGGGTAAGGCATGAGGCTGAGTCTGACCCCCAGGGCCACGCTAGAGCAGCATTTCGGGTCCCTTGATTTCCCTCTAGCTTTCCTGTCTTCTGTTTTACTGGTCTTTGTTATTTGCTATCTTTGTTATTTCCTTTCCTTCTGCTGTTGGGTTTAATTTGTTCTTTCTTGCTTTCACAGTTTATTTTTGCCTTTTTAATGTGATTTAATTGAGATGATGAGATTTCATTCTTAACAACTGCCTCATTGAACAGCCCAGGCTACTTCGAAGCTGGTCCAGCAGCGTCCGAGCTTCTCCACAGCACAAGCAGTGCCCCCTGGGCTTCCCACGTGCCCAAAGCAGTGCCCAGCAATGGCCCCACTGTGGTCACCACACCCTCCAGTGGCCACTGTTCTGGCTTGGACCAGAGGTAGATCCTCTTGGCTCCTGCAGCACCCACGTGTCTGGCTGCAGGACCACCGCGCATCCACGACTGCTGAGTAGAGACCGTGCTCCGGGCCCCCTGCCCGTCCCTATCTGTTCCCACACAGCAAAGGGGGCCTGTGGACACGCCAGCCAGGGATCAGGCAGGCCACTCGGAGGGCTGAGTGCAGGTTCTGCATGGGGGAGCCCCAGAACCACAGGGCACCGCAAGCAGCGAGCCCAGGAGCAGCCCCAAGTACTGACGGTGGCCCCAAAAGGAAGGGAAGGAAGCAGGAGGGGAGGGAGGAGAAAGGACAAAACGGCCACACATGTCAAGCCTCCCTGGGTCCTGCCTTAACTGACTGCCGCAGTGTCCTGCCTGGCTCTTGCCCTCACTGCCACTGTTCCGGCCCGGCTTTCACAGTCAGGGCCGCAGAGCAGCGTGGACTTGACCGCGACCAGCAGACTCGGTTTGTGACTGACTGAACAAGCAGCAGCCAGGACTGGCGCTGCCCAGCCTGACCTGTGAGGCCTCATCCTGACCCCCTTACCTCCTCTAGCTGCAGCGAACCCATGACTTCCAGAATGGACCACTGTCACGTCAGGGCTTCTGGAATCTTCCACAGCCTGTACCAAACTGGCTTGTTCAACCATCAGGTCTCAGCTTGGCTCATACCAACCTGGGTTCAAGTGTTCCAAGGGCCAAGGCTCCTCCACACACATCACATAACACACAGACACACATACATAACTACAGAGATACCCATGCAAGAGATACACACAGAGACATACCACATTCAGATGCACAGACACACAATGAACAAGCCCTCCATGCCCCCATCCCTCTCCACACAGTGGACCTACTTTGGTCTAGCTGGGCCGCAGGGAAGCACCAAGCAAGGGCCAAAGCACCTCGGTGTAGCTGGAGCCCGTGGGCCACTGTGTGGCAGCGAGGGGATGTGAGGGGTGGATGACACGTCGTTCCAGGTTCTGGGCCGCGACGCCCCCCTAAACTATTCCTGCCTAAAGTCAAGCACAGACCCAAGATGGACCCCAAAGGGCAGCAGAGAAGACTTCTGCACCCGTGGACAGGTGCACAGCTGCCAGCCAGCCGCCTCCTGAGGGGAGCCACGGGGGGCACAGCCCATGGGGCTTCCCCTGGGGCTCTGCGGTCAGGCAAGTGTGCTCCTCCCAGCTCTCCATGGTGCTACCCCCGACTCAGCTCAGATCAGACTCTGGTGCTCACAGAAGCCTTGAAGGCTTTGAGGGGTGCCAGCCCAGGCAAACTATCCCTGTACTCGCACCCAGCCACACCCCAGGCCTCTGTTTCCCCACATACCCACCCCGCATCCGTGACACTGCACAGTGACCCAGGGCCTGCAGGCTCAGAGGGCTGCAGCACGTACTCTACATGTGGAGTCTGGGGTTCAGTCCCTGGAACCTCATGAGTCCTGGCACCACTGGGTGTGGCCCAAGAAACACAGCCCTGCGCTGAACAGACCTCGGCCTGCCACCCTCCCGCACTGTGCCAAAATGCCCCGATTCTGGGTTCCTGAGCAGGAGGCTGTAGGCGCCAACATGGACTCTAGGCAGATTCAGTGTCACCCAGTGTCTCCCAGTGCCACCAGTGGTCACACATGTCCAGTGGGTGGGGGTGAGATGGGGGAGGGGGACAGCGGGGCAGGCAGCCACCCACTTACCCCATTCCTTTGGGCCTCAGTTTCCCTTTAGCTCAGGGAAGCTAGATTCCCACATTCAGGCAAGAGTGGGGAGATTCCCCCAGAGGCCGGGGTGGGGGTGGGCACCCCAGTACATTGGGAAGGCTGGAAAACAAATGCACCGGATTCAGGTCAGGAGAGCCGACTGGCCACTGTGGCAGCTGGCACAGCTCAGTGCCTCGACCTCCAGGTAGGGCACAGGGTGACACTTCTACCCCACCAGGGCTTCAGCGAGAATGAGGTTCACCCCCCAGGGCCTTCGAGCCCAAGTCTTGCCAGCCTGGCCAGGAGTTGGCACCCATGGCCCACACAGCCCGCAGGCCTGCGGCTCGCAGCTCTAGCTCAGCACTGGCAACCTGGGCCAGTCAGCAGGAACCCCCATACCCTGACCCTCCAGTCCTCACAGGGGCCATCAGGGCTCCCAGCGAGGCCTCCACGAGGCAACACCATGGACACACACAGCAGAGAGACAGTGGCCTCGATGCCCGATTTAATGCCAAGCCACCACTGCCTGGGTGATGTCCACAGACCTCCCTCCTCTGCCTATCGCACTGGCCACACTCAGTCACGTTGCGGCTCTGGGGCCTCCTCATCTCAGCTCCACCAGCAAACTGCTGATGGCGCCCAGCAGCTCCCGGAAGTAGCCATCATCCTCGCCCTCCTGCAGCTCCAGCGTGGCCAGAGCCTGGTACTCGGCCTGCAGACTGGCCAGTGTCCTGCCAAGCTCGGGGTCCTGCTTGTAGCGGTCCCGGCAGGTGGGCAGGAGGGCACCCAGCGTCTGCAGCACCTTTTCGCGGGCGTCGTGCTCAGGCAGGGCCAGCAGGTGGGCCGTGATCTCACACCAGCCCTGCTCCTGCAGGCTGGGCAGGAGGTGCACCTGCCGATACTGCTGCAGCTTCTCAGGGAACGTGTCCGGGGTCAGCTCGGCCTCCTCCTCTGCAAACATCTGCTTCCCATGCAGCCAGGGTCAGGCAGGTGGGGAGGAGAGGACAGAGGGGGAATCAGTGCTGAGCCCACCCTCTGCTTCCCCTGAAGACCTCACCAACCTTAGTGGAAGCATCCATGTGGCAAGAGAGAGGCACCCAGGTGGCATCCCTGGTCCCACCTGGAGTGGTGTGGGTGGTACAGACTGTGAGTTCCAGCCCCAGCTAGCCCCACCCCAACAGCAAATGACCTGGGGTCAATAGTGACTTCTGGGGAGCTGATTCATTCCCTGCCAGAGATGCTGACTGGGGCTGTGGGGAGGAGGAGCACTGGGCTGGAACTCAGCCTGCACCCCTGCACCCCACCCTATGTCAGTGTCTCCCTGGAAGGGCAGGGAGGGTGCATGTCCCGCAGGGGCACATGGCGGAGGACACGGGCCTCACCTTCTCAGTGACCAGGTCGTAGAGCAGCGTGACCACGCGCACGGCCAGCATGTCGGAGCCCTTCTCCTGCACCAGGCCCCGCAGCACCTGCAGGCCACCGAGCTTCAGGAACTGCTGCTGCGCATAGGGGAAGTGCCGCAGCAGCGAGCATAACGCGAACAGCACCTGTGGGCACAGAGTGACATGGGATCTGGGGAGGCCACGACACATAGGAGTCCAAGTCTGGGGGAGTCAGGCACAATCATCCCAGATGCACCAGGAGCTGATGCCCGGCCTCCCACTAGGGTGCAGCCTCACTGTGTGAACTGGGTAGAGCGGGGGCAAGGGGGGACAAGGGGGTAGTGGGGGCAGGGAGGAGTTGTCCCTGGTGACACACAAGGCCCTGAGGCGTGCAGCAGGCCAGGCAACACTCACCTTCTTCTTGGTAGTGAGAGGTTGCTCAGTGGCCAGGATGACCAGCAGCTTTTGCAGGGTGCCCCCCTCGATGGCCTCCACCTGGACTTTGGGGTTGCTGTGGAGAGAAGTCAGAGCTTGACTGCGCCCGCTTCTTGGGCTGACTTCCTGCCAGTCACCCCAGAAACCAGGTGGAAGGGGAGGCATCTTCTAAGACAAGCTGAACCGCGGGTCAGGGCAGATCCCTCGGTACCGCAGCCAGTGGCACGGGCAGCAGGGCCGAGGTCACCAGCTGGCCCCGCCTACGGCATGACCTGGAAGGAATCCCCTTCGCCATCTTAACTTCCTCCTAAGCTCCTGAGATGGCACGATCTCTCTGAGCCAGTGCCACGACCCCAGGCACATCATGCTGTTGCTCTCGGGAAGGGGTCCTAACCCCTTCCACGTCTCTCTTCTCCTGTGGGGGGCCCAGGCAGCGGGCAAGTGAGGCATGAACTGGGGGGGCTAGTCAGAGGAGGACCGAGATCCAGACCCAGAATCTCAACAGGGCCCACCCAGTAGCCCTTCACCCCAGGAGCAACCCCCAGGATTTCTTCCTGGAAATCCTGCTGTGGGTCTGCACGAGGGCTGAGGCCACCCACCCATAGCCAGGCCTGGGCCAACCAAGGCCTCAGGGAGAAAGCCTCACCCCAGAGCTGTCCTGGGACTCAGTCTGGGCAGGAGACAGGAAAGGGTCTGGCAAACAAGGCGGGCTCGGCTCCCCTGCTCAGGAGGCAGGGCCACCCTCCCCACAAGCCATCAGTGACTCCCAGACGCAGTGCGGGCAGACCTTGAGTCTGCTCTGAGCGATAGTGCAGCACGGAGGGTGCTTGACTTGCACAAGGCTGACTCAGATTCCACCCCCGACACCACCTATGGTCCCCCGAGCCCCTAATTCCTGAGTGCAGAGCTAGGAGTAACCCTTGAGCATTGCTTGGGTGTGGCCCAAAGCCCAAAACCCAAATCAAAGCAAGAAAAGCACAGGAGCACTTGGGGCCTGGGTCAGACCCAGGACTTCCTTTGCTACAGGGCCAGCTCAAGGCCACCTGCACTTTTTTTTTTTGCTTTTTTTTTTGGGGGGGGGGGTCACACCCGGCAATGCACAGGGGTTACTCCTGGCTTATGCACTCAGGAATTACTCCTGGCGGTGCTTGGGGAACCATATGGGTTGCTGGGAACTGACCCTGGGTCAGCTGCGTGCAAGGCAAACACCCTACCTGCTGTACTATCGCTTCAGCCCCTGCACTCTGCACTCTTCTCGTCCTTATCCCACAGGTCCCGACCCCTGTGCTTCCTAGCCTTGACCCAGAAGCCCCCCATGCCCCCATCCTGGAGAATGAGTTCAGGTGTGGGAGCATAAACAAACCTGCCGGAGTTGGCTCCTGGTGGGAAACCCTTTTCTACGTTTTCTGGAAGGGCAGTAAAGAGGGGTACCCGAGGTTGCTGGTGGGAGAGTGGGTCCCAGGAAGCCCCCAGAGAGGGACCACACCCCCTCTGTTCTACCAGTCACCAGCTCCCATGCCCAGAGAGCAAAGCACGCCACCATTTCCCTCCTACAGATGGGAAACATCTATGGCCCCCGCAACCTCTCAGCCAGGAGGAGGTGCAGAAGCGCTGGGGTCATGGGAAGGGAGGCGACAGCTCCTCTCTACAGGCAGGGAGCCCTGGAGCAGAGCCCCTCCCTTAGCCCTGCTCCCCCAATTTGAGAAAGGCAGCTGCTTCATCAAAGCTGCGCTAATTAGGGCTGTCTGTGCCGTCATGCGCTGAGAACACTCACCCGAGACAGGCAGGGTCTAAGAAAAGATCGCGGCCAGGCTGTGACACTCAGACGCCGAGTGCCGCCTCCCGCAGAGGGGGCTGTGAGCCCGACAGCGCGGCAATCTGCGGGGCACTGTGCACAGAGTGGGGGGCCGAGGCACCCACGACAGCCCACGAGGGGTCATCCTTATCTGTGGCCCAGGGGGCTGGAGAGATAGTACAGCAGGTAGGGAGGGCCCTTGCCGTGCACACAGATAACCCAGGTTTGACCCCCAGCACTCTATATGGTCCCCCGAGCCCCATCAGGAGTGAGCCCTGAGTGCAGAGACAGAAATCAGCGTGGGTGCATCCCCCCAAAATAAACGGTGAGGCGGAAGAGGAGATGGGTGCCCCGGGAGGTGACCTGAAGGTCTAGAAATGCCCCCCCCCACAGCTCTTTCAGAGGCAGGGGACGCTGTGTACCAGGTATTCCCCCAAAAGAACAGCAATCAACAGAGTAATGGGCTGGGGACAAGTGCTGCCCAAACCATCCTCATGAGAGAGGAAAGGTGGGTGGGGAATGACGCCCCAAACAGGCTGGCTGCGGGCAGACAGTGCTGAGGACCCCGTGGGCAGGCAGGGTGGGTACCCCACGAGCAGGAGGCAGCCCTGGGGATGCTCGGGGCTGTGGAGGCTCTGAACTGAGGCCCAGGGATTCAGAGGGGAGCAGGGAGCCAGGGAGGGGGCCATGTGCAGGGAGGTGGCGGCTGAGCCCGCTGCTGTGGCTAGAGTATAGGCATTCAGAACATGCCCTCCTCAACCCCACCAGGGCATCTCTGGGGGTGGTGGGTGGGGTGGAATCAGGTGCCCCCAGGGCATGAGCAGAGCCAGCCTGACACAGGAGCTTGGGCGGTGAAGAGCTAGGGCAGTGCATGGATGGGCCTCTGCCTCCCGCCTTTCGTTGGAGCCCCTGCTGCCTCTCCCATATGGGGATCCCTAGCCCGCACTGGCCACTTGCCCCCACCTCGCCAGAGCCTTCACTGTTGCCCAGGCCCTGGTGGCTGGAGTATGTGTCTCCACTGCAGTCAGTACGGGCTTCTGGCATGGTGGGGCAGCCCGTCACCCCATCTGTGGGGGCAAGAGAGGAGGCTGACCCCCTACAGCAGTGGCACCCCCTTCCAGGCATCAGGAAGACTGGCCTCTCCTCCTGAGCAGCTCTGATGAGGTGCCCTACCCAACTCTGGTCACTCACTCAGAACTCAGGGGTTCCATGGAGATGGAGGGGATCCATCCCTCTGCAAACAGCCTCCATGCACTGTGGGGTGGGGTTATCTCAGCCATTATAAAGGTAGAGCCTCTCTCCCCTTGGAAACACCTACAAAGTCAGTGGGGAACCCCAAGTCCCCCTTCACTTCAGTTCTGCCTGTGAGGCAGGGCAAAAGTCTCTTGTGAAAGAAGCACCGGAGGGGACAGTGATGACATCACAGCGGGGAGGGAGCTCATGTTGACATGACCGACCTGGGTTCAATCCTGAGCCCTCCGGGATTGAGCCCTGAGTACAGAGCCAGAAGTAAGCCATGTACACTGCTGGGTATGCTCCCCCCCCCGCCCCCAAATAAAAGGAAGGAAGGAAGGAAGGAAGGAAGGAAGATGGAAGAAAGGAAGCAAGGAAGATGGAAGAAGATGGAAGGAAGAAGCAGAGAGTACTGAAATGCAGGCCACTGTGGGCCTCAGGAAGCCTGTCATGTCACAGACAGCACAGAGGCAGAGGGGGAGACAGACTGGGCTGCACCCTCAGCCCCAGTGTGTAGCCACCCTGGGTTGGGACGGGGCCTCTTTGCAGGTCGTGGCTGTGTCTTGACATCTGGGCATCGGGGGCGTCCGAGAGCAGGGCCCCGCAGCACTGGTGCTCAAAGTCAACAGAAGGATATTAAGGACGCAGCTCTTCTCCGACGGGATAAATGAGAATAAACCTTGTTCAGAGCTAAGCCGGCTGGACTGAATCAATACCATTAGCACTTGGATTACCGGGATGCTGGCGATCAGCAGGCGAGTCAGCTGTCTGTGGAGGGAGGGGCCAAGGGAGGCAGCAGCTGCTGCGTGGTTGCCCTCCCGGCTGGGGGAGGTGGCCGTGCAGAAATGGAAGTGATTGCATCTGCAGAAACCAAACCTTGCGGGTCAGGGTGGCAGCCGTGGGGGCAGTTTGCCAAGGGTCAGAGGTTTTATTTTAGCTACCAAAGCGGAGCATGCGGCTGGGGCAAGGGGAGGCAGGAGGCGGGTAACGCTTGCCATCGGGGTGCACATTCAGACCCATGGGACGGGGGACGTGAACATGCTGCCCACTGCAGCCCACACTCGGGACTGGAGACACCAATCCCAGACCCCCGTGCGACCAAGAGAACCCTCCTGGGAACGAGAGGGCAGGCAGAGCCTGAAGCCAAGCGGGGTCCTCCCAGGGCAGGAGAGGGTGCAAATGAGCAGGCTACTGGCCTGAGAAGACGCAGACGCGGAAACCCTGCCCTGGGCGGAATCCAAACCAGGTTCAAGCAGGAATCAAGAAAAAGGAGGAAAGCTGGGAGATTCAGCTGGATGGTCAGGTGGGGGCTGAGGACATGGACATACACCCAGCAGCAGAGCATGGCCGAAAGCAGGTGTCAGGAGTATCCACGAGACCCCGGGGGCAGAGGAGAGGAATCTCTCAAAAGCTCTTTCCAAGTGCTCAGAATATTACCAAGGAGGAAGAATACTGCTCCTGTGGCTCTCTTAGCAGAGGGAGACATGGCACTGCTCTCACAGGCAGCCTGAGAAGGTGCTGGCAGGAGCAGGCTCGGCTGCGCCAATGCCGGTTCTGCCTGAGGTGCTCGCCCTGCTCACCCCAGGAAGGAAATGCCTTTCTGGGGAGCAAGAGGGTGTCCAGTGTTGGAACCCTGATCATCCATGAAACTCAAGAGTTTTCAGGGTGTGAGGCCCCAGAACAGGCTCTGGGACTGGTACTAGCCCACCTGGATCAGAATCACTAGTACTGGACACTCACCTTCTAGGCGCTCAGCATTCATCAATCCATTGATGGAGAGATGGACAATGGAAAACGCAAATAAAAACGGAACAGGTTTGCCAACAAAGTATTGACCACACACAGCAACCCCACCAGAACTGAACCCCAGGAGAAACAAATGTCCAGGACGCCTTCACTATCCCTCCTTGTCCCTCCCCCGCTCCAAAGAGGAGCAGCCAAGCATCTTCCTCAGACACTTGACAGCTCTCAAACAGCTCTGCAAGATTACCCAGGGCACCTTCTCCCCTTAAATCACTTCAGCCTGGCAGTCAAAACACTACAGGAAA